ATCAAAGCTGAATATTTTTGGAAGTAGTTTTTAGTTTGTTTTTAGTTATAGCTATGTTAGGGGGATATCTGTGTGTGCAGGTGACTATTACTGTGCATAATTATTAGGCAACTTAACAAAAAACAAATATATACCCATTTCAATTATTTATTATTACCAGTGAAACCAATATAACATCTCAACATTCACAAATATACATTTCTGACATTCAAAAACAAAACAAAAACAAATCAGTGACCAATATAGCCACCTTTCTTTGCAAGGACACTCAAAAGCCTACCATCCATGGATTCTGTCAGTGTTTTGATCTGTTCACCATCAACATTGCGTGCAGCAGCAACCACAGCCTCCCAGACACTGTTCAGAGAGGTGTACTGTTTTCCCTCCTTGTAAATCTCACATTTGATGATGGACCACAGGTTCTCAATGGGGTTCAGATCAAGTGAACAAGGAGGCCATGTCATTAGATTTTCTTCTTTTATACCCTTTCTTGCCAGCCATGCTGTGGAGTACTTGGATGCGTGTGATGGAGCATTGTCCTGCATGAAAATCATGTTTTTCTTGAAGGATGCAGACTTTTTCCTGTACCACTGCTTGAAGAAGGTGTCTTCCAGGAACTGGCAGTAGGACTGGGAGTTGAGCTTGACTCCATCCTCAACCCGAAAAGGCCCCACAAGCTCATCTTTGATGATACCAGCCCAAACCAGTACTCCACCTCCACCTTGCTGGCGTCTGAGTCGGACTGGAGCTCTCTGCCCTTTACCAATCCAGCCACGGGCCCATCCATCTGGCCCATCAAGACTCACTCTCATTTCATCAGTCCATAAAACCTTAGAAAAATCAGTCTTGAGATATTTCTTGGCCCAGTCTTGACGTTTCAGCTTGTGTGTCTTGTTCAGTGGTGGTCGTCTTTCAGCCTTTCTTACCTTGGCCATGTCTCTGAGTATTGCACACCTTGTGCTTTTGGGCACTCCAGTGATGTTGCAGCTCTGAAATATGGCCAAACTGGTGGCAAGTGGCATCGTGGCAGCTGCACGCTTGACTTTTCTCAGTTCATGGGCAGTTATTTTGCGCCTTGGTTTTTCCACACGCTTCTTGCGACCCTGTTGACTATTTTGAATGAAACGCTTGATTGTTCGATGATCACGCTTCAGAAGCTTTGCAATTTTAAGAGTGCTGCATCCCTCTGCAAGATATCTCACTATTTTTGACTTTTCTGAGCCTGTCAAGTCCTTCTTTTGACCCATTTTGCCAAAGGAAAGGAAGTTGCCTAATAATTATGCACACCTGATATAGGGTGTTGATGTCATTAGACCACACCCCTTCTCATTACAGAGATGCACATCACCTAATATGCTTAATTGGTAGTAGGCTTTCGAGCCTATACAGCTTGGAGTAAGACAACATGCATAAAGAGGATGATGTGGTCAAAATACTCATTTGCCTAATAATTCTGCACTCCCTGTAAGCTGGAATGCAGGCTCTAATATAGAACAGTCAGCAACAATCTGAAACATAAATAAAACATATTTGTGTGAGGGGCAAATAAGGCCGTATAGGAATTAAAGGGAAAATGAGTCGGTTGAGGTGTGCCGGAACCGACGTCGTGGTAGGCCTGTAATAAAAGAGGGCCCACCCATGAGGTGTAATGAAAGGCTAGGTAGAGGGAGTGGAGGGTGGGGACATGTGAGTCGCTAAAAAAAAACAAAAGTACGGGACGGAGGAAGGTGAGTAGGGGGGTTTAAGTAGGGAAACATGCCCCTCCCACAACTGCAGGCCAAGCCTTTACATTTGTGTGAGGGGCAAATAAGGCCGTATAGGAATTAAAGGGAAAATGAGTCGGTTGAGGTGTGCCGGAACCGACGTCGTGGTAGGCCTGTAATAAAAGAGGGCAAAAATTGGATACCTGTCAGAAAAGAAAAACAATCAACAAAACCTAATTGCCTAGCTATATGGTAAATGCCGAGCGAGTAAATAGTTGCCCAGCACTTAACCGGCACTCTTCGATATGCAAGGGGGAGTAAGGTATGATAAACATGTTGGCCCTCTAGGGTAGACTAAGTGTGGGGGTAGAGAAAAGAAACGACAGCATGAATAGGTGCGACTTCCTGAGAAAATGCTACAAGAAGGACGTGGTGGCTGTGGGAAAGTATGTGATACCCAAGAAACTGTGGAAGCCGGTACAGCGGCTCAACAACTAGATTATAGTTTAAGTGACTAGTTCCCGCTAAGTACAAACGGTTGATCCAAAAGAAGGCGAAAAACCCAGATTGAAGCGCTGCCAATTTGCAACAAGCTGGGAAAAAAAAAAATTCCTTCTTGACCCCATAATGGCAGTCGGATTTCCTTGGATCAAGCAGTTATTGCCCTACTTTGAAAGGTGATGCCCGGTTCGTAGTGTCAGGCCTTTAAAAGGACTGATAGTGGTTGAGATACTTGGATGTTAATGTGAAATCTGTAAATTTGAAATTTCCAGGAAACCTGAAACGCCTTGAGTATGGTATGAGGACATGAAAACTGTGTATGAATGGTAAACCTGTACAACATGTGGAGTTGTGGACCGGATAGGTAGAGTTGATGCAAGTTAGAGGTGGCAAAAGAAGCCAAACCAAAAATGCAGACAACAGAGCTACAGAAACAACATTGGTATACGAGAAGGAGCCCCAAAGGGGAAGAAGGCCCGAACGCACGAAACCGCGAGCATTGGAAAAAAAAAAAAGAGCCAGACGCGAAAAAAGACGAGCTAAGCAGGCTGGCAGCCCATGGTCGGGCCCCCAAAAGGTGCGGGGAGCCTGGATCAGAACCAGCCAAAGTGGCAGATGCCAGTTACCCCAAATTGCCAACCGACACCGCCCCATAGAGGACAGCAACGAAGACAACCGGAAGGCGAAATGGAGAAGTAAGAGCGAGCTCAGGGGGCCCCCACCAGCAACAGCATGGGGAGAGACGAACAGGCACCGCAGAAGCGACCCAAAGTGTGTGTGTGTGGGTATGTGTATGTGTGCTGGCATACTAGCTAATACCAAAAGGTGAAGCAATTAAAAACTAGGTTTGGTCACCGGTGAGGCCCTGCTAGATGCCAAGCGGCGTAAGAGGCTCTATCTATGCGTTGGCGTGAGGGGATAGCGTAGCCACTGAAACGTTGTGGCGGGGTGTCAGCCTCTCGGTGACAGTTAAACATAAGAAAGAATGGGAGTGACAGGTGAGGCCCTCCCTATGCCACAATGCGAGGCGACTAACTATGATTTGGCCCGAGGGGCGTAGTACCTCCAAGTATGAGGATGGGTGTTGGCCTCGCTGGACCACTAACCTAAGGCGAAGAAGCCGGGGGGGGAATTACCAACTAGTGGACACCTAGGACCCTGACAGCCAGCCACAGCTAACTAAGAGGGGAGGGAAGGTAGTGTGAGAGGGAAGGTTTGCTGAATGTGTATCGACAAAGTGAGTGTGAACGAGGAAACACCGTAGATCCGACCGCAACTGAAAGCAGAGCAAGCACCGCAGTGTCCAGGTGGCCGGCGGAAAGGAGCGAGCCCGGCGGTAGGTAACAGAAAAGAGTTAGTGTAAACCCCCACGGGGATCACTAAACCCAGTGCGAGTGTGAGTGTGTGAGCATGCGTGGGAGTGCTGGCATACTAGCTAAGCCAAAAGGCGAAACAATTAAAACTAGGTCTGGTGACAGGTGAGGCCCTGCTAGATGCCAAGTGGCGTGAGAGGCGCTATCTTTGCGTTGGCGCGAGGGGACAACGTGGCCACCGAAACGTTGTGGCGTGGTGTCGGCCTCTCAGTGACAGCTAAACACAAGATAGAAAGGGAGTGACAGGTGAGGCCCTCCCTATGCCACAATGCGAGACAACTAACTATGATTTGGCCCGAGGGGCGTAGTACCTCCGAGTGTGAGGATGGGTGTTGGCCTCGCGGGACCACTAACCTAAGGCGAAGAAGCCAGGGGAAATTACAACTAGTGGACACCTAGGACCCTGACAGCCAGCAACAGCTACCTAAGAGGGGAGGGTAATGAGCGAGAGAGAGGAACGAACCGTGTGATGAAAAAGAAAGGAGGGGTATGAGGAAAATCGTAAGGCCGACCGTAACTGGAGAGCATAGTGAGCCCGTTGGAGTCCAGGTGGTCAGGCTGTAGGGAGTATGCATAGAATGCGCGTATGTGTGTATAGCCCAAAACGGGCTAACGAGGGCCAGATTGTGGGCCTGGGAATAAAACACATAACGTTCCGTCCGGAAAATAATGTAGCACGGATAGGGTGAAGTGAAATGCAGGTCAGACTCCGCAACGAGACCGAAAAAAAAAAGTTCTATAACGGTATATATGCAGTCGCAGACCGCGCATTGACATAGCAGTAAAAGAAACCCGAATGCGATACACCGGATATCTTCTATAAATATATATATATATATATATATATATATATATATACATACCTACACTAACCAGGTACATTGCAGGAAGGCATGCAGCAGTGGGCGGACTAGCATCAAAGGTTTCTGGATAATGGAACAGGCGTCGGAAGCAGGACTCACCATTTCGAGCCCTGCAAGAGATATCTGCTTAATATGAAAAGAACCCTAGGGCACGAGGTCATAGCAGGTTTTACTCCCAGATCAAATAATAAGCCAACTACAAAACCTGTAAAAAATACTCTAATAGAGATGTTTCCAAACGGATCGTAAATGATCAGTAATTATCAGGATATGCATTAATGTGGGGATTAACATCTAAAGATGACAAGAATGACTGCCTTACCGGTACTAGGCATTTTTTAAACTATGGCATGATTTAGAACACATTTCAAATGAGTGTTCTGCAGTAATACTGTTTTGTGCTTTATAAAAAGGTTTCCATATTTTTTTTTTTTTTTTTTTAAAGTCACATTCAGATGTCACAGAGTATGTTGTCACAACATACTAAATGAACATGAGGATTGAGGGCTGCCGTGCAGGGAACCAGCGGGCCGTTCGTGGGAAAAAAAGAAACACGCGAAATGCAACTACAAGAGGAACAAGGGCAAGGGGGAAACAAAACACCCGAACCGACAACCAAAACAGAGATGGAAAAACGTATTGGAGAGGGGACATACCTAACCGCGAAGACACCGTGGGACAGCGACCGTGGCGCAAACGGCAGGGGGCAGGTGACTAGCGAAACGGAGAGTCGACGGGACAGACAGCGGAGGCTTGAAGCTCCAGGGACACCGCGAGAGCCAGAGGAGGGCCCAGAAGGACCGCTGACAGCGGGGAAACAGCAGGCCAGGCAATGAAGCCACGAGGACCAGGTAAAGGGCGGTAATGGCGACATGTGAGTCGCTAAAAAAAACAAACGTACGGGACGGAGGAAGGTGAGTAGGGGGGTTTAAGTAGGGAAACATGCCCCTCCCACAGCTGCAGGCCAAGCCTTTACATATAGTGTATACCATAAAACACAATTAGCTAATAAATAGCAAGAATAGGACTCACAAGCATAGAGACATATCAGGCTCAATAGATAAGGCCCCACGGTGCCAATACTGTCTACGAACATCAACCAGAAGACAGGGTGTAAAAATCTTCACAAACACACTTTATTAAATAATATCAGGATAAAACGTGTATACAAGGAACTAAAAATCAGCAGTGGGTAACGATAAGACGTAAAAAAGAATTAATAAAGAAAAAAAAAAGGATTAATAAAGACTGCACAACCTAAGTACTGCAATCAAAAGTAGAATATGCAATGCAAAGTCCAAAAAACAAAATATATACAAATAACAGAAATATTATACCACACCGCACTAAATAGAAGTCCGAAAAGTTAATAGAATAGGCAAATGCATTTTAACTTGAAATAAGTCTTCTTCCGTTCAGAGATGTAATGTTCCTGTTTGTTTCTCCTTTTAAACACTGTCTTGCTTACCAGATAACGTCCATCTGTAATGAGGCACGAACATTAGGTTTTAGATGGTTGCTGACTGTTCTTAGAGCATGTATTCAAGCTTATGTATATAAGTATTATAGTGTGGTCAATGTTTGGTGTGTAAACTTTTCCTTTTTGTATTTTATATGTTATTTAATAAGGTGGAAGGGGAATCATCTGTTATTATTCACCTCAGTACACACCAAGTATTGGGTTATATTTACTGTGAAGCGCCTATACACCCTTTTGTTGGTTAATTTATGGTACTTCATCTTGTTTTTTCTCCCTTAGCCTATCACCACATTTTGGACTCTATCTACACCAGAGCTGTATTTAGCGCGAGGCTGACAAGGCATTTGCCTTGGGCGGTACTTTCAGGAAGGTGGCAAAAAAAGCTGGCTGACAACCTTGGGTCCCCCCGAGGCTGGCATGTGCACACGTTGGAGGCGGGCTGCAAGAGAGTGCTGACCTCTGAGCTCTTCCTGCTCAGCTTCTATGCACGCCCCGCAATTATGCCATAATATGACATCACTCCGGCTTCGGCATCACTGAGAGGCATGCGAGGGAGCTGAGCAGGAGGATCACCTGCCTGCCGGACCGCCCTCCTACCTGTGCCTGCCAGCCATTCTGCAGCCAGCCACATTGGACCCAAGTGAAGAATCCACTCCAGCACTCCCAAAGGTAGGAATGCTGGGTGCATTGAAATAAAAAAATTTGTGAGTGTGTTAGTGTGTGTGAGTGTCTGATAGTAAGGATGTGTGTATGTCTGTTAGTGAGAGAGTGTGTCTGTTAGTGAGAGTGTGTGTCTGTTAGTGAGAGTATGTGTGTCTGTCAGTGAGAGTGTATGTGTGTTTGTCAATGAGTGTGTGTGTATGTGTGTTTGTTAGTGAGTGTGTATGTGTCTGTCACTGCCACTGTATATGTGTTTGTCAGTAAATGTGTGTATTTGTGTTTGTCAGTGAGAGTGTATGTGTTTGTCAGTGAATGTGTATGTGTGTGTGTCAGTGTGTGTGTCTATCACTTAGAGTGTCTATCAGTGTGTGTATGTGTGTCTGTCAGTGAGAGTGTGTGTTGGTCAGTGAATGTGTATGTCTGTCAGTGTGTGTGTGTGTGTCTGTCAGTATGTGTGTGTCTGACAGTGAGTGGGTGTGTGTCTGACACTGAGTGTGTATGTGTGTATCTGTCAGTAAGTATATGTGTGCCTGACACTGAGTGTGCATCTGTCAGTGAGTGTGTATGCATTTCTGTCAGTGAGCGTGTATGTGTGTCTGTCAGTGCATGTGTCTGTCAGTGTGTATGTGTACTGTCAGTGAGTTTATGTGTGTCTGTCGGTGAATGTGTGTGTGTGTAACTGTGAATGACTGAGTGTTTATGTCTGTGAATGTGTATGTTTCAGTGAAAGTGTGTGTTGGTTAAACAGTGTGTGTCAATGACTGTGTGTCAGTGAGTGTATGTCAGTGCATGCATTGGTGAGGGTGTATGTCTGTCAGGCAAAGAGCATTTTAGTTTTTAAACAGGAAGAGAAATTTAGAACGGGGGTGGGGTGCCCAAGTTTTTAGTCATGCCTAGGGCAGCACAAAACCTGAATACACCACTGATCTACACAACCCCTGAAAGCAGCCTTTGAAAGCACTCCTCAGACTTTCTGTGTCTGTCCTATCACAGGCTTCCCAACGCAGCTCTTTGAGAAGACATTGCAAGGCAGGTGCTCTATGCGATTGTCTGTCTCTTCAGTTTAGCTCCACTGAGCTAAAGAACCAGGAAGTAACAGGACCAGTTGTCTGACAGCCAGAGAGGTTTTAAAAAGTTTGATTTATAAAAGTGTTAATTTCTATGGAAATATGCACTTTTTGCAAATTGAAAATGAGAACACACTTTTCACACATAAAGCACACACTAGAGTGTTATTTTAATGGGGATAATACACACACACACACAAATAAATAAATAAATAAAAACAAAGTGGTAAACAATCTTAATATAAACGACTGGTATAATTGTGACATTAAAATCATTATGCATTTGACACAGCAATGAGTCTGAAAATTAATTTTTTTGATTATATTTATAGGGAGTTGGTTAACCACCAAAGGAATTGCTGGTTCGTTTATCTTTATGATATTTCCTAACAAGTTTAATGTTATTCTTCATGTGTTTGCATTATTTCAGGGATGATGCTACCATTTTGGGTCAAAAATTTGGTATGAAAATGGTAGCCACACAGTGGGTGACATATCCAAAGCCCAAATGGATGCCCAGGGAAAGAGCCACAACTCGGGGGAAGAGCCACAACAAAGGTGAAATATCGAGTAACCACAACAAGGGTGAAATACCATATCAGATGGGTGGGACCAGTGTGATATGGTTCAGATATGTTCTCTCTGTAATGGTACTAGATGAGCTAAAACCAGCTTGAGATCTGAGCGGGGACCCACCGAAGGGCAGGCTAATTGAGCTGTTGTCCATTCTCACCTCTCTTGCTACTTGTTTTACTCTCCTTAAGTTTAAAGGGCAATCCAGACGTGGACCCTTTGCTCACGGTGCCTAGAGGGATATTGGCTATACTTCACTGATGATACCTTACAAGGTTGAAACCTGGGGTTGCTGTATCTCTCATGCAAAGGGAACTTGCTGGCATTTCAGATCTGGACTGCCCGTACGGGTGGGACCAGTCTGATATGCTTCAGATATGTTCTCTCTGTAATGGCACAGATCTCAGCGGGGAGCCACCAAAGGGCAGGCTAATTGAGCTGTTGTCTGTTCTCACCTCTCTTGCTACTTGTTTTTCTCTCATATAGTTTGAATTATTATAGGGAAAGAATAAAGGATAAGAATTATATGTGTTACAAATCCTAACAATCAAAGTCCAGCAGTCATTGCCATGACTTGTTTTGTCACCCTGCCATAAATCTAGATTACTATCACTGGAATACAATGACTATCAAGTATTTACCTACTTGATGACAGTTGTGTCTAAACTTATACTGATTAATTGAATGCAAAAATCTCTTCTAAAAAGAATGTTTTCTTTATGAGCCTATACAGTTATTTTCTGGTGTTCAAAGCCTGGTCATTTTGAGTAGTAACTCCCCTCAGTTTAACATAATTGTCCACTAGTTTGTTGATTTATGACTGTAGTTCAAGGCTGTGGAACATTTATGTCAGCCAGTCTACAGGGTAGATTTGGTTGAATATCATCAAGCTTCCTTAGTGCTACTGTCATTGGATGTTCTACAGCAGGGGTTCCCAACCCAGTCCTCAAGCACCCCCTACCAGTCCAGGATTTAGGGATTACCCTGTTGTGTCTAAAGTGTTTTTTGTGTTTTTATCAAAAAAATCCTGTTTTGTTCTACAGGATTATTATCCATTGCCATGTGTATTATACATTACTCTACCTCCACTATGTCTCTCTCTATTAAGGGGAATTTAGTATTTGTAAGAACAGAAAATAGAACATAGATGTTTTTCGTGCTTTTGCTTGGGGGGGTTTGTCTATGTAATGCCACACAAAAAAGAGCTACTTCCTAATGATATTGCTGGACCTGATTTTGAACATCATGCAGATTTGTTTTATGTACATTATTAGTTTTATAACAGCATGGTGTTTTCTCCTACTAAAAACTTATCTAACAAATAGGTTTCTGCTATAACCCTATAGAAATTAGAGATTTTTTTACTTGTGCACATGGTATTTTTACATATGTATTATTATTATTATTACTACTGGTATTTATATAGTGCCAGCATAGTCCATAGCACTTTACATTATTATCAAAGGGTGAGATTTAACAATAAATGGGACAATTACAAAAACTTACAGGAATGATAGGTTGAAGAGGGCCCTGCTCAAACGAGCTTACAGTCTATAGGAGGTGGGGCGTAAAACACAACAGGACAGGAGGTAGCAATCAAACAAGGTAGAGTGAAGCAGAGCAGGAGGAGAGAACAGAAGAGAGCAAGGGACAGGTGTGTGAGGTAGAGGCTACTCTGGGAGGCCATAAGCTTTCCTACAGAGATGGGTTTTGAGGCACTTTTTAAATGATTGAAGACTAAGGGAGAGCTTGATGGTCATAGGCAGGCTATTCCAAAGGAAAGGTGCCACCCGCGAGAAGTCCTGCAAGCGTGAGTTGGCCGCACAGGTGCGAGCAGCGGACAGGAGAAGGTCATGGGCAAAGAGCGGAGAGACCAAGAAGGGGCATACCTGCGGATCAGTGAAGATATATAGGAGGGGCTAGAATTGGTCAGTGCTTTATAGGTGTGGATTAGTACCTTGAATTGACTCCTATAGGATACAGGAAGCCAATGTAAGAACTGACAAAGGGGAGAGGTGTGAGAGGAGCGACAGGAGAGGATAATCAGTCTAGCTGC